CCATAATTAGGCACACAACCGTTCTTCAAAGTTATGTACAAAGTACAGTAGCAGACTGAGAGGGGTCTTGTCTAGAAGTTAGTCGATCTTTTGAATTTATAATGGCAACTTTCTAGATGTGGACATTGTGTTTTCCACATGTACTTGTGAACTCAGAGACCCTATGAGCACTGTGCATCCTCTACAAATGTATAATTGTATGTTGCCACGTAAAAAAGCTGTCAATACATAATTGTAGAGTGTACTTGTATTGTGTGACATCAAGACAGTGTCTTCTACACATCAACAAATAGGCAAGACATCATGGAAAGTGCATGTTTCTTATACATTCAAGTACTGCAATCTTGATGTAAGAGTTGTTTTTTGTGCAGTAGTATTTCATATCACATTCACCACATGGCTTTCAATTGTAAAAGGTTTTGACCTGAATACCATGTTAAATTTCCTCTAATAAGTGTTCTTGTTCTTATGAGCTCCCACTGCTTAGTTCATAATGTCAAACGAGTGCCCATCTCAAACAAGTTCCCCTCCTTTTCTCTCACTCTCTTAAAGAGTAGGGATAGAAGAAAAACCTGTTTTTATCACCACTTTATTTATAACTTTTAAAGCTTCAATCAAATTAGAACCAGTCCAGGAGAATAATGAGTGCCCCCCCTCCTCTTGATTATGGGCCATCCTTTCAATTAGCATCCCTCTTTTCAGTCAAAATGTTGAATAAGCACCCAGATGCTTATTCAAGGAAATCTGGTAAGTTTCTTCCCACTTATTTCTACTCTGAAACCATTAATTAGTGTGCATTAACTCAAGATGATATCGTTTCTTTTCCTTTTTTAAGGTGACAGTTGGTAACATTTGCACTTGTTTGTTTATTTTTAAAGCTCCTTCTGCTGCTCCTGGGAACTTTCGAGTCACTTCCAATTCTTCTCTCGCCTTGGACATAACTTGGGATGCCATTCCTGCAGAAAAACAAAATGGGAAGCTGCTAGGTTATCGTATTTACTACAAGGTAAATGGATCTACAGTAGAGTATAACAAAACTGTTGGACCAGACAAGCTGGTATATCAACTAACAGGACTTGAGTTTACAACCTATGTTGTTCGAATGGCTGGGTACACCGCTGTTGGTGTTGGTTTGTCGACTGGATCTGTGGGGAAACAACCAAAAGGAGGCGGTAAGGGAGCTATTTCTTACAAGTTTGTGAATAGAATATACTTATGGTGATTCCTCAGTATTGCATTGCGCTTCCTGTAGTGAGCATAAAAATCACGTAATCAGGCGAATAAGCGCGTTTCCATTCCGAGAACTCGGTTATCGTTTTTCAATCAATAGACCCAGTAAAAAGGTACATTATGGTCTTTAGCTCTTGGACGAGCACGGTGACCTATATTTTGTATTGCTAAAATTTTGGTGTACAAATTATCCCATTTAAAATGGAGAAATTAAAAAAAGAAAGATATTGCTAAAGGTGTGTACAAAGCCCGTTACTCGATGAGGCAATTTATGACCTTGAAAGCAACGACTCGAGGAACGTTTCGAGTCGATGTCGTGTAGAATTGCTTACTTTTTCTACAAATTACATATCAAACTGTTCTATGCGCTCGAGACTTTCTACCTATCAATTTTTTTTGAAGTGTTACTTTAAAAACCTTTGCTTCTAGCTACCGCAAAATGTACAGTGAACCGATATGGAAATGACGCGCGTGATTAGTGCCACTACAGGCATAAATGGGGTAAGAGTGGCCCATCATATTTCTCAAACAAGCACGGTGACCCGTCTTTTTTACTGTATTTTTCGAAACAGACATTGATAGGGGAACATTTAAGGAAAGTTTAGAAAATTTTTCAATGGCTTTTTTTTCTGAGGAATCACCTTAAAAAGTGTTTTTATTGGTTAGTTTATCTGTCAAATGTTACATGAGTATGATTATTTTTTTCATATTCTTGACATTTGAAACCAGTTTGATATATCAAATCTGCTCTTAAACTAAGAAAAAAAAAACACTTTGATATGAACATAAAATTTACCTACCTATACGATATATACGTAGAAGAAGTGACTTGGAATAACATTTGACGATAATAACTTGCTACAAAACGTTGCTTGATAACATTGTAAAATTTAAAAACGATAAAAAGCTATAGAAAGCTAAAATCGACGACGTTTCAACGTTAACATAACGTCATTATCAAGTCAAGAATGTATAAAAAAAAGTTCTATGAATACTTAAAACGAACAATAAGAGAAAGTAATTTGCGGGTTAAACAAAAAGTTTAGCACGTATGGAGTCCGTTTGCAGGTTCAGATTAGGTTTGAATTTCTTAATATAAAGCATTTCAAACACTAAACAATCAAATTTGCTTTGAAACTTTCTCAGAAT